CTATAGACCCTATTCTTCTTTTTTTTTATTTATACCCTTCTAAGGTTCACAGTATACGGTAATAAAGGGTAAAGCCTACAAGGAAAAGAAATGTGTCTTGATGTTATGGAGCTAAGCTTGCAACGTAAAGACCCTCCTTGGCAAAAGAAAGTGTAAAGTACTAAATCCTTTACACGTCCTCAAATATTTAAGAGTTTTGAATGGATTATTCGCTTAGCACATGATCATTATAAGAAACATTTCTTTGATAACAGTTCAAAATCGATTCTTGTACTCAATGAACATTAAATATCTGGTTTTTTAAAGGTAAATTTATAAAGGTCATGTCGTGTCATAGTAAAGTTTGAAAAAATTATAATTGATTAACTATTTCAGAAACTGAAACATAAAAAATCTAATATAAATGCAAAAATGTTTGTTTAAATTTACGGTCAAAAACTGCATTTTACAAATACAGTACAAATATTTTCACAAAATAGTTGACAAAGTGCGGCAAAGAGCTCCAATAGCCTAACATTTGAACGTAGTTTTAATAAGCCGCCTGGGTCTTTTAGTTTGGTGAAAACATAAAAGTATAGCTATAAACAATCCAACAAAACTCTTAGAGGTATATTTAGGAAATTAAGAGTGGAGTCAACTGGCTTTGAAATCAAACCTTAAAACAATGAATTAAAACCAGAGAGACAGGTATTTTAAAAGTCTAATATCGTGAAAATAGGTAAATACGAGGATCAAGTTGGCAACTAATTAAAGATACAAAATGTTTACGTCAATAAACAAATGCGAAAGTTGAACATGTCGTTCAGTAAGTTTACTTGTTATTGTAATACAAAATCATTGAGCAAGTTTAATTTGATATATTTTTTGCATATTTATATATCTAAATATTCTATGCTCCTATTTGTTTATACGATTGCAAAAATAGGTAACCCAAGTTACCAGCTAAAAGCCAGTATGGCATAAAACAATGAATTACACTGATATATATTTAATTAAAAAAACACAATGCATAAACTTGCCGCACTCTTCTAGCTAATAAACATAATTAAAACAGAAGACAGTGTTTAATGTAATAGAGCCACTTAGTCTAGACGCTTGAAATGCAAGTAATGGGTTACGTCATGAGATAAGTGATATCACCGTAAGCAAATACATGTGCAATATATCAGCTGCAAATAGCACAGCGATAACGACCAAGCTCGTGCAGCTGATTGCAGATTGCAGAATGTCAGAGATATTTGATCACTGAATATTGCCTTGTTACAGCTTGTTTGGTATATTTTAATCCTGTAAAACATGCTCTTTCGGCTTACTGTACCAATCACGCCATTCAGAGTGCTATGGAGAACTATAATTTCCTAGTATATGTTATTCTACAACAAGTGTGCAATAATCCAATTTACTTCAAAGAAGGTCGTAAGGATGACTCATAAAAAATTAAGCTCATTTCAACTTTGCCTCAAAATCTAAAATTGAATTAAAATCATAATGAATGTAGGCCTGCAATGACAATATGAATGAAGAAAATTACGTAATGAAACAAAAAATTATATTCGGCGTTACTTAAAAATTTATTTATAAGTGAAATGACTCTTTGCTCGGTATTTAGAATTTTTTTCTCCAAAAAAGACCTAAGCCTTGTCTTTCATGATGCCGGCCTGCACCTACACGAAAAAGTTTGTGGTTTTCCTAAGGCAAGAAGTATTCTTTACGTTCCAAGATTTTTACACCACTATTATCAGGTTAACATAAATAAACAATATCCATGTAGTAAACAGGTAAATTCTGTTTGCATTTATTTAACAGGCTATGGCTATGTTGTGTTCATCCTCAACATAAAATTCGTAGTAGGCCTATTACGAAATATCTATCAGATACAAGCGTATAATGTAATAATGTTTGAAGATTTATTTTCGATTTGTTCCAATATTTTGTTCTAACTTTCTACGATTGTGTGTTGGACCATTTTATCAATTAACAGTCGCAATTGAACTACCTACCACCAGTTTCGTTGTCGCAATTGGACCTAGGGTCATAAAATATCGCAATCAAACCACCCCCTAAAGTTGTTCCTGTAGCCAACATTGGAAAAGGCTAGTCCGGGAACCGAATGTAAAACATACAAAGAAATACTTATACGGACGCAACCATTTCCGCGGTAGAATGTGTGTTCACGGATAATGTCTCATTGTGTACAAAACTTATGTAGACACGTTTTTGTTCCGCGGGTCGTGAACCTGGTTCCAGCTGTAGATTCAGATGTCTTGAAATTTCCTCTTTAGTTCCGCGAGCTGCACGGCCCGTGAAGTGTAGAGGGGGTTCCGCTTCTAAATTAATTGTAGCAGGGTCGTACAAGTAGCCGTAACAACTCTAAAGAAAACAAGTCACCAAATTGATAAGAGGTTTATTAATTTCAACTTCTCAAGCTAGAAAAGAAAACAGGGAAGTTTCCGAAATTTTAAGCTATGTAAAATAAATAGTGTATCAATGGTCTGAATTATGTAAAAGAGACAAAATTCAAACGTTTGCATTTTTAGGACTTTCATTTCTATTCGTGAAATTCATATATCCATATACAATTTTGAATTTATGTAGCATAAATGTTTCACACTCCTGAGAAATAGACGTGTCTATTTTTTTATCTCCTTATGTTTGGCTATACACTTATGACGCCCGCAGGACATAATTTACCCTATTCCTATTCAACCCGCTAAACTCTTCGCTGTAGAAACTACACTGAAAGGACGAAAGGTATGCAGTGGTGGGTAGAGCTATATCTTGAATCGAAATTCAATTACATGACACCGCCCCATTGGCGCCTCGCCGCCCTCAATTTGCTGCTAACCATATCTCGTATCTATACAGATTTATTGGTAGTGGTAGGTATATTTACTCATCAGATGACCATAAATAAATTTTGCGGCCTTTGGTTAAAAATTTAACTGGCAATGTTTACTTTTTACTAAAAAATTCAAACTCTAGCTATTTTTTTATTGAGAACTGTAGAATTCAATGACTACGTTCACATTATTCTTTACTTTTTTATTTTCAAGCGGCAACTACTATTTTTACATAAAAGACGGGGATACGCATGGTAAAGCGTAAAAGTGTTAATGAAGAAACGTAAGAATAGCAATTAATTATTAAGGTAGTTCATTTGTGTTGTCTGCGGTTGTTAAAAATTGTAGCGACATTTTCTTCTTCGCCTCTTTTCACTACCTTATTTTGCTATTTTGCACCAACTACCCACTTTGGCACTTTATGATATCATAAGACATAAGACAAGATATGAAACAAAGTTTATCCATCAGGAATAAAATGATACCCCCGCCGCGGCAAACCTGCAGACTAAACGAATTTCCATTTTCACTGGTTGGATTTCGACTTAAATCCATTAGGTACATTAGGTTTAACTGCCTAGTTTAAGAGTTAGGTTTGCTGCCACAGGAAGGGCAATAAAGTGTGTATTTAGTAAAATATTAATAGCTTAGTATTAAAAATAAATTTGCTGAGTTTGATCAAGTGTATATCCATAAACAATCAATCTACAATAGTTTACTTACTCTCCATAAAAATAATATGGACATTATTTGTTTGTTAACATTTTTTGAATTTTCTCTGTAGGCTAACTAATAACCGTAAAAAACTTAATTATACTAAATTATTTTGTAAACTCGCCTCACAATATATTCATTTTTGGCTAGACCTATTCTATAAATGTTTAAAGTTAATAACAAAGGTATTTTATTGAAATAAATGACCAAACATGCAACGAAATTTAAAAGGCTATGTTACGTTATAATGAAAGGACTGAAAATGGAGTGTGGGCTGAAATTAAAACAAAATAGAAGATAAGTTTTAAATAAAGGTTCAAATTTACAATAGTATAATATTTAGATGTGCTATATATCAGGGTAGGGTGTCGTGCTAGCTTGAATACTAAGAATTAATAAATTAAATAGTGTCCAAATAATTAATGTGTAAAAACTTACAAAATCCCTACAATGAAAAATCTAATTTGTCCAAAAGGTAAGTCCAATGTGCACTGAATTTAAGTGAGTTTAAAAGAAAAGTTTATACCTAATTTTGAAAAATAATGTTGGAACATATGGATCACTGCTTACTTGAATTTTGATTCCTTAAGGACTAATTTTGAAATGATATGATAAGAAATTTTGATGTATTGCAATTCTCTTACATGCTTAATAAATAACTATAAATAAATTTAATGAATTTTAGGCAAGCCTTAATTATACATCTGGATGACTTTCTGAGAAGTGAATAATAAAAAAGGTGTATGAACAAAAGTTAACATTTTAAGAAACTTAATACTAAAAAAAAGAATGAATGAAATGAAATATTACAATTTTTAAGCTCTTCAAAATAGTTTATAAATAAATTTGGAAATTTTATATTTTGAGGGTCAAAAGTGAGAAAACTCCATAAACCCCCATGGAACACCGTTCCCATGACGCGTTCTCTCTGGTTCGCGAACTCATTCAAGTGTTCCCGTCCTACACCTTCAAACAAAATGTCATCAAAATCCGACCAAAATTACTCGAGTTATCATGTTCAATTTGAACGAATAGTGTTTTAGTCTCCGGGGTCATCAAAATGAAAAATTAAATCGGCCCCGGGCCCAGGTCTTACCGTGCCACCTACGGTAATTGGCCTATTGGTAAATTTGCTAAAATGGCCACGAAATTTATCCATGATAACTCGCCACCAATATATTTAAATTTGTTATTAGGCCTATTATTTTTTTTAATAATATATTTTAATTTTTTATTTTAATATACCGGTATTTAAAAATATTTACATACTTTTTTAATATTATTTTTATTATTTTTATTAATTCAAAAAATAAATTTTTTCAAAAAAAAAAATGTTCAGAGGAGGTCAAACACATTGCACGTTAAAAGTATGGAATTATAATCATACAATATCAAAATTATCCAATTAGTAAAAACTAATCGAAGATAAAATAATTTAAAACTCACATTGTTGATGTAGTATACGAAAGCACGAAAATACTGACGAACGAAAACAACGTGTCGCAAGTAGCGGCGATATATCAGCACTGAAACTGAAGCGCAGCTGTTCACTGAAGCAGCTTTGTACTGTTGTAGTGGCACTACTGCTGTTGCTAGGCAACCATCCCCTCTCCATTGTTGGCCCTGCCACTTCCCCTCCAATCGGCGGCGGTTGATGTGTGTGGTACTGGTGCATTCAAGGAATTGCACGTGCCGCACAAATACAGATTGCCACTCACAATAATGAGTGTGGGCGTGGCCAAGACTTAAATAGCCTCCACGTGTGTGACATTTACATGGACCGTACAGCCTAGGTGTAATATCGCTTCTTTATAAAAATAATAGGGTCCTTTCGTAAGATTTGGTGTGCATCCACGTCAATTAGATTTAACAGTCTTAAAACTGAATATTCTAGACAAACTTTTTTTGTAATCTGGGGAATATGAATAATAAACAGTGAAAATGTTTGAAAGAAGATCTGAAATCAAAAACAACTGAAATAATTATGTTTTGGTCAAAATTACTTCATGCGTTACCGTAATTAGACAATTTGATTGAAATAGCATACAAATATATATGGTATGCAAAATTATTATGAACCAAACCTGAGGTACAATCGGAACTGAATAGACTTTAGACGACTAAAATAAAGATATGAGAATAAAGGGATTTAAAATGGAGATGTCCGTTGAAATAAAAATAAATAAACTTATGTAGTTTAGTTTAGATTCTTACTTGACGATAGTATCGGATATGATACATTCAAAGTACTGACTTTATACTATACATCACTCCCATACAATGAGGCATTGTTGTAGATATTTTATGGATGTACTTTCGTAATTGTCAATGTACTTATTTGCGATATGCCTTTCATATTACATATAGGCTAACCTTACACATATGTCCCAAACAAATTGTGAGAGGCAACACTAGGTCAAAGTTTATTTTTTATTTTACACCAAAACTTGTTCAATGTTCAGCAAAGTAAGTAAACACTTTCAAAGTCGGAATACAACAGAGGTGCTGATTTTTGTGTGACAATTTAAACATCGAGATATCTGAAGCATTGAACTATATGTTGTACCAGTAGGTATATAAAGTCAATGGTTGTACCTAAGACAGCGGTCAAGGTACCTTTGATTTTATTTTAACCCTACTGCACTACCAATGGCCGCAGGGCTACCTTCAGTTTGGCAACATCATGTCGCTGACACGAGCCTCCATTCATATGGACAACTCTCACGTGTAATTACCTATCTCAAGTCTCGTGCTGGGTCCAGTTCTGCTTTCGCCTTTCACTCAATGCAGGTGGCGTAACTAATCTTGACCGAGCCCAGCGGCGTAGTGAGTACTTTTGGCTAATGGCTACCAGGCGGGTGTTATTTGGCTGCTCAAGGAGTGCACGAGAACTACTTTACTGGCAACTGGTCTTACAGACCTCGTATATTCAGGGGACAGGGAGTGTCGAGGACAGTGGAGAACCCCGACAGTACCATACCGGGTATTTCGCTGGGAGGAAGGAGGAAGGAGTGGTCGAGAAAGGGTGGAGCGATAGAAATATAAGGTGAGGAGGATGAGAGTGAGCTGGCGAGGGGAGATCAACACGCTAGCGAGGCCGTGGGTTGTATTAAGAATTGAAATTACTATGAGGAGTTACTATAGGAGTTTCTACATACAATTGCCAAGCAAGTATTTAAGGGCGGTTAATAAGGCAGTCGTTACTAACGCTAGCTTTATAGAATATTTCTTTATGACAGGGCTACAGGGCTTATAGTAACTTATAGGAACTTATAGGGAAGTAACTTATAGGATAAAGTTAGTACTTTGAATGTATCCTATCCAATACTACCGTCAAGTATGAATCTAAACTAAACTACATAAGTTTATTTAATTGTTTATTTTATATGTATAAAATAATTGTTAATTTTTTTATAAGACTTTATTAAAGAGCCTGTGCAGTATTAATTTAAACGTCACCATACTTATTATTATAAACCTTACAGTGGTCTCTGAGACCGATGCAAAGTTCAGTAGTAGTTCACCAGTTCCCCGATAGGTTGTGTTAGCTGCCGCAGACGGTGGTCGGTACGGTGACACACTATCCCACTATCGATCTTTTCCCCGATCAAGACCCCGAACCGAGCAGGGAGAAGGGAGGGAGGTAGAAGGGGAAGGGATCAGGTTCGATATTGTGTCAGGGGGAGGGGGAGGGGGTCCGTCCGACCGTCCGTCTGGCGTGCACCGACCGCGGACGCGGATCCAGTCCATACATCAGGCCGAGCAGGGAGCGCTCTGGAGGCGGTTTCTGGCGTAAGATCAAAGCGAAGGTCGGTCCGATGTACGGGGTGATGTACGATACAGTATGTTTTATCTATGACGATACTGTGTCACGGTATATTTTTTCCCGTGGCCCGTACGCCGTCGCGAGCGCCACACCGAGCGCTAGCGGATGCTTCTATTTGAACTGTGGAACCGTTGGAAACCACTGTCGACTCAGTCTAGTGCTTGTTGTCTGCTTGTGATTCATCACGCGTGGTTTGTTTTGTTTTGTGATTGTGGACGATTTGATTTTAAATTTTTAAATCACATCATGGAGTGGTCTGAAGAAAACACATTGTTATTTATCGATGAATATAAGAACCGACCGATTCTGTGGGACTTGTCACACCCCTTGCATTACAACAAGATAAAGAGAAGGGATGCATGGAATGAAATATCAGGTGTCATTGGAAGACCAGCAACTGAACTTAAAAAGAAATGGGATAATCTAATGGCTTCTTTTCGTCGAGAACGTACCAAAGTAATTAAAGTGGAGCCAGGAAAAGGTAAGCATCTCTACATTATCTGTGCAGCATAGTTTTTTGAGTTATTTTTTTATATACCATCACCAACTGTTGGATTCATAGTCTGTGCGCGCGGTTCAGACCCCCCTCCTACTGGTATCAGTAATATGCACCCCCCCCCCTCACCACCTACGGCTCCGCTCCATAGCCAGCTGCGAACCGCGAGCAGAGAGCATAGACACATACACAGACTATGGTTTCAAGTTCCAACAGATAGTATACGGTCCTGGTATACGGTACTGTACTACGTGTGTCACTAGGCCTACTTAGAACTCAGTGGAGTCCTTTTGTAAAATAATAGAGACAAGCCATTTCACTATATTTCATTTTATAAATACAGGGTCATTGTAAAAACATGATGCAACTTTATGATTTAAATTATAACATGGTAGGTGGTAGGTTTCTGGTTTAGCTTAATTGAAACACACAGTTGTACAACAGTATTTCACTAATAAAGTCGTGTAAATTAAATAATAAGTAATCAACCTGTGTTGAACAAGATTTCTTTGATTAAAAGTATAAACAAGAGCAATAGGTACGATTATTTACTTGTCATTGTTCAAGCAATGCTATTTATCAGCTGATTTATTAGTAAAATTAAATGGACTAGTAACAGCTGATTAGCATGCACATGTGAACTTAAAATTTGTGCTGTGACAAAGTCCACATGACACACTTTATGCCATATAGTTGTTATTAATAAAACAACTATATTGGGCACTGGCCATTATGGGTACAAATACCCCCGCCGCAGCAAACCTGCAGACTAAGCGAATTTCCATTTGCCTGATTGGATTTACACTAGAATGTCTCCTTAAAAATATCACATTTATTCCCTATTTAAATCGAATCAGTTTAACACATACTTAGGTTTGCTGCAACAGGGAGGGTTAAAGTGTTTTTTTTATGTAAAATGTTAATAGTTAGTAAGAAATAAAAACATTTTCCAAATTTGGGCAAAATATGGTAATAAATAAGCAAACTACAACAGTTTACTTATCCTCCATAAGAATAACATGGGAATTTTAAATTTTCAATTTTTTTGAATTTTCTCCGTAACCATTAGGCGCATTATAACGCTTCAATATACTAAATTATTTGTTTTTTTAAGCTCTACAAAATAGTTTGGAAAGAAATTGCAAAAATTTAAGTTTTTTGGGTCAAAAATGGGAAAAACCCATTTTTACCCCATAAAAGCCCCCATAAACCCCCGTTCCCATGGTCCGATCATGCTGGTTCGCGAACTCGTTCGAATAAACATAGGTTTATACGTTTGTACCAAATTTCATCAAAATCGGATCATTTTTGCTCAAGTTATCGCGCTAACGGACACACACATATATATATATATAAATATATATACAGTATAAATATATATATACAGTATAAATATATATACAGTATAAATATATATATAAATATATATATATATGAATTTGAACGGATGCTATTTTTGGCCTCTAGGGACCTCAAAACGAAAAAAAAAATCGGTCCCGGGTCCAGGTCTTACCATGAGTAATACGGTAATAGCTTATTCCCTATATGGGAAATTCGCTAAAAGTGTCATAACTTTGTTGTTTTTCAACCGATTTTGTTGATTAAGATGTCATTAGATTTGTCTTTAAATTTAAAAAAATTGTATATTCTTTGTGTTTTTCGATATAAAATGTTTTGTTTTGGGATATTAATAATTTAAAATTTTAAATACAACTTTAAAATTGTTAAAGAAAAAAAAATTGTTTGTAAGTTACATTGCAACACAATTATACATGTGTATGTCCCAAATTTAAAGATTCTATGTTGAAGCATTAAAGAAGCTAAAAAGAAATTTGTAAAAAACACATATAAGCAGATGGGAGACCCATGGTTATTGTAAAATCTGTTTGTCTTGATACTAGCGAGCAATCCCACAAAAGGGGTACAGAGGTTGTTCAGGGACACCCTGTATAATAATTTTATCTAAGGTTTCCCGACCCAGTCTGCATCTATTTTTTCAGTTCAGATAACTTTGAGACCATTATATGGCTAACAAAATACTATTAATTTTTGTATACTTGTCGTTTCAGTAACTGTTACAAAATGTTGTGTTCTACTCATATTTTTCCTGAGTCCCTGGGATCAATGAACCTTAGACCCTATCCCAACACAATCACAGTAATATTGCTTACCTTACCTCCTTGACCTAGGTTTCTTTTGGCCTCGTCAACAAGTTGTCCCCACTGCTGCGGGTCTGCCGCTGAGTTCAGGGAGGCACCCATTCGGTGTAGATCCCTCTGTAGGCCTACTTGTTC